TGCAACTGTAGTTTATGACTGAACTAGGGGGCCATTTTTGTTGTTTTTGTAAATATAAACTGAGCTGGATGAATCAAAGGGTGTGGAACTAACAAAAAGGAGAAAAAAAAATTTAAGAGGCAGAAAGTAGTAACCTACCTTTTGAAAAGAATAAAGTGATAACAACAATTAGAAAAACAACACTTAGAAAAGTCTCCAAAAGTTGCCTAGTAAGTGTTAGTTAGAAACTGTCCTATTTTATTAATTAGAGCACAAGTAAAAGCAGTCTAAATCAAGAACAGAAAACATGCAAGTATTTACCTGCTTTGAGCATGGCACGTTGCTGTTATTTTTTTCCATGAGGGACCATTTCAAAATATTTGGCAAGGTTGGCGATTTCCATGTTGGCCACGGGTTGACAAATTTCCCATCTTTGCCTCTCTTTGATTTAGTGACATCCTCTTCTAATCTGTAGTCCAGCCTGAAGCTTTTCCTCGAGGTCCTGGAAGAATCGCTGCCCCTGGAACCTCGACCTGAATTCTGACGTTTCCTCACCGCTTCTTTAGGGTACTGGTTACAGGCAGTCAAAGGCTGCTCTTCACCCATTTTCTTATCCATATCTTTTTGAGGAGAACTAAAATAAATTTTAAATTAATCAATCTTTTCTTGGACTAACATCAAGATTCATAAGATCGAATGTTCTCACACACATTAGAAACAAGCCTGCCCTTCTCATTTTATGATCTACTGTATTTTTTCCCCTCAACAAAATAGCTTTTAAAACAGTTGCTATTACACAAAAGACTTCAAAAACATGCTGTGGCAAGTAGACATGAGATCTCTTTGTAGTTCAGGCAGAGTTTTACTCACCGGTATGCACAGCTTCAGATACTAACACTATTATCTACCAACTGCAAGAGTGAGGGGGAAGGGTTCCTTAATTTACATTTTGGAAGAATAGTAAGTTCCTCCTGAAACTTAAGACATTTAGTGCCTGATGTAATACGATCCTGCAAACCTGTCTAAGAGACACTGGAACTATACAGTACCTTAGGATTTGCCTATATGGTAACTTTGTTTTGTAGTAAAAGCAGCAGCCTCATATAGCATTAATAACACATTACTTCTACCGACAAGATGCACATACATGCAGAAAAGTCAGAACACAGAAGACGTTTGGGCCTATTTCCTATTTTGTCCAAAACCAAGGAAAAGCTTACTGTAATAACAGTAAAAGTACCTGTTTCAAATACAGTTTTGATACAAATTTAACTGAGCTGACTAGTGAAAGGCCACAGAAAATTGGAACATCACAAATAAATCATGGCTGCAATGTCTGTTCTTAATTCCATTGTGAAATGCAAAAAAGTGAGAGAATAACTGAGACAAGCTTATTTCTATAGAGTCACAATTCTGGCACATTTCTTAGAAAACTGCAAACTCTGTAGTCAGAGTCTCTTATTCCAAACTGCACTTAAGTGTTGCACAGTTTAGGAATAGGGAGTCTTATTGATCTCATAACATCCAACATAGAAAAAAACAAATACCCCTATTTTATTTTAAAAGTTGCTGAAGCAATTAATTTGAAGCTAAATACTTCAGTTTCCATATTTTCTTTCAACTGAAATGTTGAAAGTAAATGTACTGTTCTGACAGTTTTTTTAAAAATAGGTTGCTATTTTAAAGAGTGCACAACTTTCTGGTACTTACAAGCTCTACCTGATAAAAACTCGAAGATGACCAGTAACGAACAGACAGCATGATACGCTGCTTAGGTGCAGGAGTAATTTTTAATAACAAATTGTGAACTTTGTCCTGTGGAAAACTCTCCACCATGTGTTTTAGACTACCTACTGTTTCATTAGATAGATACTCAAACTTTGGCTCTATACTCATATGAGACGCACTGGCCTGATGTACCAAAGTCACTCCACTCAAACAACATTTTCAGAGAACAGAATTAAAGCCTACAGTTTTCTTAGAAATTACTTCCTAAATGAGATATTTTCTAAGTAGCTGGGTATGCATAACTCACTGTGCCCCTCATAAGTTCATAATTACTGGGGGGGGCTGGGAATATTGTCATTGCAACATTACAGCTAAGATTTTACACATATATGTGTGTTATCAAATTGAACCCAAATGCATTTACTGGTGATGCTCTAACTTCAAATGCAGAGCCTGCCCCTGCTATTTCAGCAGCAACTGATTACTAAACAGAAAGTGTGGTGTCGGTTCCAAAGATATGACAATTGATAAATACTGTTAAATTTTCTTAACAAAACAACCATTATTTTGCCATACAGTAGAGATAAAATATTAACACATCAAAATTCACTTCTGATAAAGAAGCATGAACAACGTTCAGAAAACATTGCTGATATATAATTTTGTGATAAATAGTACCCTTGTTCATAATCTTGTTTTAATGTAATTGCTTTGTACTCTAGTTTCCCTGTAGTTTTACTGAAACCACTCCATTTATGTCTTTTCTATTTAGCAATAATATACCACATCTGCACCATAATTTTAATTTAACTGTTTTTTAATTTAACTAGGCTTTTTTCTCTATTCCACTAAACATTTACTGGAATCAGCCTTCAATGGAACAGCCACCCATCTTGCTCTATACCATTTTAAGCAGATATAAATGGTAACAAAAAGAATCAGTACCACAAAAAGGCAGACAGAAAACCCGCAAAATTGTAATGGATATTTTAACTGTTACTTTAACTTAAGAGGGGTTTGGCTTTTTTTTGGCATTCCTCAAAGAGCATTTTCAATACCAAGTCAGCTTATTAATTTAGCAAAGCACGCAGACACAGCATAAAAAATCTACTCTTCTAGAAAGCATCATGAAAACAAATCACAAAAGTTTAATCAGATAGGTACTTAATTCAAGGAAATTCTTCTGTTAACATCTCAGATGTCTGATTTTTAAATATATATAACTACTGTAATTGTTGTTCCTACAAGACATTTTATATTAGAGACCAGAGTGCCTAAGGTTTTATTTTTAAGCTTCTGTTTATCTATTCATTCATCTCTAAAATAGGTGGGTTCTACTTTTGCTTAAATTTTCATATAAACCTTTGATCTTATTCTGAAAGTATAAACCTCTAGGGGAAGTAGGGATCAACTATGCTGATTAAACAAAGACAATGTCAAAGCATTTAAGGCACTGCAGGTATCTGTCTGCCAACATATTTTCCACATGATGCACATACATTACTTTCATTAGTATTCCATAAGCAACTGAAGGGATAAAAGACCTCAGTGCTCACAGAATACTTTAAACCCTTTTACGTGCATGAGAAAGGGACACATTTACAAACAATTAACTGACGACGTATTCCTGATGAACTGTAGATTCCTTTGAAGTATCAATCTTGCCAGTTCATTTCTGTTTCCTTTAAACTGGTAAAATATATCCTAGAATATTCATGGAATACAGTAAAAGAAATCTAATTTTCTTGTTAAAAAAAAAAGGTAGACAATCATTTCTTGAAAGCCAGCAATCATCAGCTTAAAATAAAACTCAACCAGTTATTAGCCCAAGGAGATTCTTACCCTTTTGCAAAAGAAAGCCTCTACAGACAAGGAGATTTGGCGGGTATATTTTAAATATTAGAAAATACCCAATCAGAAATGAGCTGATTTTTCATCCAGCTTTCCTGAATTCTTTCCCAAGAAAAATAATAGTTTGACACTCGAGAAATAAATTTAAGCACCGGATTGCCAGGCAAATTATGAGCGATAGAGACACCAAAATCAAACTGGAGTAAAGTAGTTGCGTTCACTTGGGATGGGCAGGGGGAAGGGGTCATGTCCTTGGTGAGTATTTGTTATTGTACGGTTCCACAAGAAATCTTCTATTTTCCACACTTTTAAACAAAGAGGAAAACTACTATTCTACTTAAAAGCATTGACCTGCTTTCTTAACAAATGGAACCCCTTCAGGATGAGGTGACTTACCCCCAAACAAGGGCAAGTGGATTGCCACCATTTGTAAGAGGGGCTCAGGCAAGATGCAACACAACCGCCCTCTCAGTGCTCAGAGGTGCTTTACTGCTTCAACTGAATTCAGAAAAGGAAATGGACCAAGACATACAAACTACTAAAGGAGGCCATTAGTCATGCCAAATCCACGAGGCCAGAAGGTACTCTAGACAGAGGGGAAGAACACCACTGCCTGATGAATAGGATGAAGCCTAACATGAATCAAAATGCAGAGTCATATAACTGGTTTCCCAGCACCAAATACTAAGGAGCCCCTAGTAATCCACAAAGCAAGAGAGAAGTTGTAGATCAGGCAGGACATGGCATGGAGAACCCATGTCTTACGTCATGATAAACAGGCTTACACCTGTAAACGGGATATAGCCCTTAGGACAACAGGTTTGGGGTCAATTGTTTATTTTAGCATTGCCTATTTAACTGAAAACTTGGATACAAACATTTTGGCTTTGAGTCTTCTGTTTATTTAGGAAAATAATTAAAAGTTTAGTTAAGCATTTTAATACCTTCTCTTTCTGTTCTAAAAGGTTGGAAACAGGATACGTTAATGTTACAGGAAGCACTCTGACATTAAAATTTTTCTTTTTAAATGATCTTTTAAACAGAGCAGAGCTTCAAACCAAATTATTTTAACTTTATTTGAAGAAATGCATTGACATAAGATCTGTTGTGTGAGTCTCCACCTTTTCCACCCAGTCTCCTCTAACATCCGCTACTCTGTAACTGAAATGAATGTAGTTCCTCTTACTAAGCATACAGCCACGCTACAAACAGTAAAGGCTGCCAGAACAGATTTATCCTTCCTTTCTACACAGAAATGTGGTCCTTATTTAACAAATTCATAAGCCAGAAAGTTTAAGAAAGAGTTACTATGAAGCTATAGTTTACTGGAACGCAACAACACCCACAAAACTTCACACTTACCTTGCAAATATTCCATAGCTTTCCAAATATCCTTAATTTTCTCTGTTTTTGAAGCAATGAGCTTGGTTCATTTCTAATTGCTGTCTCTCTGTACAGACTACATCCAGAACTGGGCTGCACTACACATCACCTAAAAGGGACAGCACACAATTCCTAGCAAACTCGTTTGGTTTGTGTTTCATCATGCCACTGTAGCCTTATCAAAGCAAGAATCTGAGCTTTCTGCAAGTCATGTACTGCTACACAACTTGGAAGTTTTCTTTCAACATATGTATTTTTTAAGACTGCAAAAAGCACACTTTTGGGCTTGAAACTAAGAAAAAAAAAAAGTACTTTTTTTTTTAAAAAGCCTCCCACCTGCTCAACTATCAAATGACTACCAGCTAAGTTTTGGCTGTGCTTTTATTTTTCCTTCAGGTCTGAAATTGTCTGCTTTAATTAATGAACAGTTTGAGACTGGAAAATTCTGAATGCATTTAAACTTTTATTGTGCAGTACTTCAGGCTGTTCATCTTACCACTGTAGCCTTATCAAAGCAAGAACCTGAGCTTTCTGCAAACCATATACTGCTATGCGACTTGGAAGTTTTCTTTCACTATACATACTTTTTTTTAATGACTGCAACAGCAGTTGCAACAGCAATTATTCCAGACACTCTTGGTCTTAGGATTTCACACAAAGAAGAGCTCTCAAGCTTGCAACTAGCTGATCTATAAACACTTCTATTATTTGAGATTTCCCATTAAAAGTCACAAGCAAGAACAAGCAGTGCAGACATTTTCATTCAAATTATTTGACGTTTTAACAGCCAGCTTGGGATTCTGCATGATGTCCTATTTCCATATTTTCTAAACACCCACAAAGAAAAAAATCCATGCTAGTACAGAATTCTTCCATCCTTGGATGCACCCATTTCATAGCACAGCTATAGGTTGCCAGCCCAGTTCTTCTCTGTTCTCAACAGATCTGTAAGTAACCTGACTCTACAGTGATCTCATGTACTGTTAAAGAAAGATGAAAAACTGAGTTAATAACAGAAACAGAAATAGCTTTCTCCATAAACAACCTCATAGAATTAGGATGAATCCTTTGCCGTTCTTACCTAGTTTTGAGGATCAACAGTAAAACAAAGCAAAGTTTTATTTAGACATTACAGAGAAAAAAAATTTAGTTACAAATAAAACAAATGTGAAGCATCTACCCATGGTCGTCTGTTGTTAGGCATATTCTTACAACAGCTGTATTTATAAGCAGCCATCACCATGAGCCAACCCATTTCTGCCCTCATTACTCCCCGAGGCTTGCCAAAACAAACATTTGTGTCCGCATGGTGAATTAGTTCAAGAAACTGATCTAGCTGATAGTCACTTCTTACCTTCCCATCCCCTGGAGAAGTATTTATTTTTCACCTGCATCACTGTGTAACCATGCAAGTGTTTATACCAACAAACTGGCTAGGACAGGGAAGGGTGAGAACAGGAATATACTGTTGTAAGCAAAAACTGCTTATGCCGGTGCTGCTAGAGAAAAAGTAATTTATTAAATAGCCTCCATTTAGAATTCTCTCAGTTACATACACCACCAAGTCAGGTTCAGCAATTCCCCCTACCCCTAAAATACTTCATTTTCAATCTATTCCCCATCCAAGGTTTCACATTTTAGTACTGATGCTGCTTAAACTCTCTGGCTGCCACCTCCAAGAGTGATGTTTCATATTATAACCAAGCAAATTCAATAGCTACCTACCACCCAAAAGGCAGCCCACTCCTGTTACTACACATTCTGACCTCTACTTTCCTGGCATTCATCAGGGGAACTAAACCAACAGAAAGTTATTCATAGTCTTTACGAGTACCTATCAGCTACACCCTTCTATGCCTCTGGATACAAAAGCAAATAGGCTTTAGAGTCAAGTCCATCAGTATTACCTGGAGCCAGCTATTTCTCAACCCTGAGTTAAATCTGATCAGCTATGGGCATTGTATCAACTGCATAAAGATGCCTCTTCCTGGAACTGGGACAATACATAACTATTTTCCCTTTGTTTCCACGCACCCCAGCTGACTGTCCCTGTCCAATATGAGCACTTTGTAGAGCCCAAACATGTTTATGAACTGTATTTAATATTATAAAATTTTCTGTTACATGCACATTCTGTTTAGGTTATGATCCCTGATATGACAGTAGTTGTCCATAGGGGCCATGCATATTAACAGAGATGACAGACCCAGTAGCAAATTGCTTTAGCTATACAGACCTATTAAAATAAATTATTTCCCTCTCTACCCTCATCTTTTACTGCAGTCTTGAATAAAATTATCCAAACGTTGGCATGTGGCCATCACATTTAAAAGAACAGCCTAGACGATCATTACGATTAAGCACAAGAGCAGTGTAATTCTGCGCTATTGCTGAAGCAGTCACCAAAGGAAAGCAGGAGTCAATTTTCCCTATGCCAGAACAGAAAGTGCTTTCCTTTGCTCTCCCTGAAAAACTAATTTCATATGACTACTTAACATATAAGGAAGAATGTTGAAAACACAAGAGCTGGAATGAAAGTTTTCTTACCTGCTCTGCAGGACTCAGGCTGACAACATACAGAAGCAAGGTTTGTGCATTACAGCTGTGTTATGGTACACAAGACAATAACTGGATCACAGATCAAATGCAGACAATTTTTAAAACCAACAGAAAAATAAGAGAAGATAGCACATGCACACAGGTGGGCACATAAACCATGGATTCCAACAGCAATGATAATCTCCATGGATGGCCCTTCACACTTGTACAGAATTTCAATAAAGCCTTTCCAAAAGAGCAAACATGAAACTTGTACCCACCCAGCTACACGATCTGGACCCCAACTTTAGTGTTCTAGCACCAGCTCCACTCCTGTAAGTATTTATGCAAACGAGTAGTTCATTAGTTTCAGTTGGTCTACTAATGTGACTACAGTTAATAACAGAGCCAAACCTTTCCAGGATGGGACTTACTGTTAGAAAAAACAAACTTTACAGGTTAGCATTTACAAACACACTTTAGCCACTCCCATGCATTAACAGCCTATGCATCTTGGGTGTAGTATTTTAAGTTATTATGTAATGTTGAAGCTGTTAGCACAGGTTTTTCTTAACTAAAATGAAGTTTTAAAATATTACAAGCTCACACTCTGTCCTGAGGATAAAGATTTCCCATCTAACATCTTACGTCAATTACGTATGACTAAAAATAAATACTACTACACATCATGAAACTAAGGTTCCACCTGAACATACTATGGTAGAAATACAATTTCCTTTGTAGCACATGGTCATAGAGGCAAGGTAAGAACTGTTTTCATAGAATGGACAGAAATCATGTTAAAACTTTGATCCATAGGATCCACGTGGCAAAGCAGGATCTGAAGCAGTTCATTTATAATCAACTCTGGCACTTTTATGTCTGCAACTGCGCAATTGCTATCTCCACCTCATTTACTAAGCCTTTTAATTTTCTTTTTCCTTTTCTCTCCATGCCAGAAAGGAACAAACTCCTATGCAAACCTTCTCTAGATTTATACCGTGAAGAATCCTTTAAAACCCTGTAAAACCTCAGTTGTCCAGGAAGTGCAGCAACGCCCAAGCACTAAACTAGTTTTTAAGTTAATACACAGTTATACAGTTTTGTTTATATACATTTTTAAATGTTTGTCTATTTGATTCCCTCTCTTCAGTTCAAAGTCCAAGCACATAGGACCCAATGTTATTTCTTGGCAATATAAAAATATTTCCCTAAATTATTTCTGAAACTACTTAGATTTCAACATAAGCTCAACTTTTGCTTATCCCAACAACATTCTCTCTCTCCGTCGTGTACGTACGTACACATACCCCACAGATATATGGATTTTACAGAACCATTTATAACATTTGACCTCAAATGTATTGAAATCCAAACAAATAATTTCCAGATCAGTTAAGATAAGGAAAATAGAAGTTTTTCTTTGTTGAAAAGTATGTTTTTCTTGAATGCAACTGTTCAAAGACCATCTTTCACATAAGTTAAGCTAGAAGGTCATCAGCCTTTCCAAATATAAAAGTTTTGAATCTCCAAAACTTCATACTGGAAAGCCAGAAAGCATATGTGATACAGCACCCTTATGGTTCTTTAACTGAAACACAGCCATTAAAAGAAATTACAAGTGGTAGAACACCAGACACAGCAAAACACAAATACCCAAGGAAACTCGAAATGTCACAACACGTTAGCATTTTTCATGACAACCCTTTTTCCTATGTATAACCAGCCTCCTACTCTATCCCCACGACTGTAGATTATGATGTCTCTTGACATACTCTAAATGAAATGCAAAGTGCTTTGGTTGTTAGTCAACAACAAAAGTGTTAATATTAAAAGTTGTTTGGTTTGTTGTTTTTTTTCCTTATGGAAGAGTCAAGGCACATTTCCAACACAAATGCGAGCCATCCAGTAATTTTCAAGGCACCATCCTAAATATGTAGGTGTTTTAAGGAGACAAAGTGTTTCATTTAAACACACCTAAACAGACACACATAAACAACTTGTTATTGCCACAATCTCATTATCAGAAACAGCTGAACCTCACTGAAACCCTCTCTCAAAAACCAGTCCACAGCATCGGAGATTTCCACCTAAACAACTGAAACTATTTCCAAATATTATAAGCAATAAACCCCAAAATCTTATCATAAGCCTTACTCAGCAGACAGTAGCACTACCAGCTCTAACCACGGTAACAGGTCTTACACAAGAAAAAATCTCCTGATATACATCTTGATATACATTCCTTACCACTTGACTTTTCACTCACGCAATATCTTACCAAACCTTGTTTTTCACAGCAGGGACACAATGGCAGCAAAACGTTTTCACAGCGTTACTTGGTAATGCCCAATTCTCCTTGCTGAACAGCTTTGTAAGGTTTATCTGCTTGGGCACAGTTGTATGCTATTCAAACCCAAATCATCTCTTCTTTATACAGCTGCTAAATACTAAGATATTACATGCAAACAGTAAATAACATGTAACTTCTTTCCCAGATTTTCTAAGAATATTCAAACAAAGTGCAACATCTAGTTTACAGAAAAATCCTTTTTACTCAAAGGTGCATTTAGACACAAGATGACCAAATGATTTACCATGGTCCTGGCTCTGCACATATTAGAAGTAGAACCCTGACTACAGTGCTAGCCAGCACACTGCAAGCTACATA